CAGATGTAGGAAGGTGGATGCTGGCCAGACAAGGAGCACCTCTGGTGAACGGCTGCAGGGGTTAGGGGTTAAAACATGGAGAGTCCAACAGGCATGGGGGGTCCCCTCCTGGGCTCCCCACCTCCAGGTCAGAAAACGCAGCCTCCCTCTTTCGCACCTTCCTGTCTCGCAGTAGCCTGGAGGTATTTCAGGGCATGAAGGTTCTACCCAGGGAATCCTTACCTCTGTCTCCAGGGGAGGTCCTGGCTAGGAAATCTCTAGGTTCCCCAAAACCTGTTTCTGGAAAGACCTGGCCTAGGGTTTCCAGGGTCTCCACCCTCTCTGGGAAAGGGGTCTTGGTGGGATCTCGTGGTCCCCAGCCCCTCGGGCCACTACTCACCGTGGGTCATCACTGTACTGCACTGTGGCAAAGCGCACACCCTGTGCACTGGCTGCTCCAGAGAAAGGCAGCACCAGCCCTTCGAGAAAGTTGCGGACTTCGCGGAAATTACTGCGGCCAATGGATGAGGAGCCATCCAGTAAGAACACAATGTCAGCGGCGTAAATGCGCGTGCAGGTCACTGGGGTGGGGAGGAGAGATCAGGGCCTCTTCTGGGAGGCCAACCACCCGCCTCCCGGCACTGTGGCCTTGCTGGGACTTGGGATGGTGGGGAGGGTAGGCCTCATCTGCTTATGCAAACTAGGGCCAGGTCGGCCTGAGCCAAGGCACCTTGAAGGGAGGGATCTGGGAGGGTCCCAGACCGGACTCCTGCGGAGGGTTGGGGCGTGCGGGGGAGGGAGAGTCGCCTGCACGGGTGTAGACCTGGGACTGAGGTCAGCCTCTAGGGGACAGTGCAGATCGGCATAAAGCAGGGGACCCCGCGCACATCCAAGGAGCCAGAATTTGGGTCGGAACAGGATAGGAGGCGGTTTAGGGAATCCAGCACTGATCGCGGAGGCTTCGGGGAGTCCCAGAGTTAGGAGGAATCAGCGGGGCGTCGTGGAGTTGGCTGGGTGGGGGTGGGGGGCGTCGGGGATGAAGGCCGAGTAGAGCGGAGGGTAACACGGTGCAGTGCCCCGGGCCGGGTCCTCCCTGTCGGTGCCCACCTCTCTCCCTGTGCTGGGCTCGCACTCGGGGCGCCCCTGCCAGGATCCCGGCGCAGAGCGCGGCCACGAGAAGCCGCAGCCTCATCCTGGGCGGTAAAAGCAGTCAGTTAGGACCCCCATCTCTGTCCTTTGCCCCACCCTGCCCCTCCGGCCTTGGCGGGTCCGAGCCCAGCGCCCCTCCAGCCCGAGTCCTGGTCTTGCCTGCGCGTCCGCCTGCTCCCGCCGCCGCAGCCGCTGCAGTCCCGCGGGCAGAGCAGAGAAAAGTCCCTGATCCCGGGGGGGCGGAGCGGCAGGCGGGGACCCAGGCACCCGCCCTCACCCACATCCCGGAGAGGTCACCGCCCCCACCACCCTTCCCCCGGACAAACGATATGACGCACTTAACTGTAGAGCCCCCGACCCCCCGTGGCTTCTGGGAATTTCCCACAAGGTTCTCCACGGACAGATGCTGAGGGAGTACCCCCAGTCCCATGTAAGGTGACAGGTCTTGGCTGCTTTAGTCAATCACAGTGACCAGGCTGAGGAGTGGACAGGTTCCTGCAGAACCACAAGGCAGCAGTGCCGTTGGGGGGTTGGGGCTACAGCTGGGGATGACTCACCCCCAATCTGGTGGGGGTGCCCAGACAAGTCCTCAGGCCATGGGTCCCGCCGGCCACTCCTGTGATTCAGCCATCCCTCTGTCTGTCTGGTGGGCCCCCTGGGCCCCACCCCAGTCTCCTTGACAGGCGAGCAGCCCTGACAAATGAGTGACTCTGGGCCTGCCTTAGGGAAACCAAGGTCCCCTTGGCCTGGATCCAAGTAACTCACTCCCTCTTTGTAGGGGATAAGCTGAGAGGAGAGAACCTGTGTCATGCTTATGCATACGTCCCAATGTCCCACACCCCTACCATATCCCAGGCAGATGCAATCCAGCTGTGCCTGCAGGAAAGGGGCCGTCCTTCTGTGGAGGGTAGGACCACCCACAGTGACAGCTCATTTCCCAGGAATCCAGCCCTCCAGGCCCCACACTAGGTCCCCCCTACCTACATGTCCTCACCCACAGGCCTCCCCCTCCTTCCATCGACTCTTCTTGCAGGCCCCTGCCACCCATATCCCCCACCAGGCCAAGGTCCCCTTGGGCCCCTTCCTCCTTTCACTCTCATGGTACCTGTAGCTTCCAGCCTCATAACTGCCCCCTATCTCACTCCTCTCCCCTTACCCAGGCTGACTTCCCACCCTTCTCCAGCTTGGCTTCTGAGGCTGTGGACAGTCCCCCAACACACACCAGGCCAGGGCCAGTGTCCTGAGGAGGTGGGTCTTTGTATATGCGTATCTCTTCATTAGATGGGTAACACTAAGGTGGAGAAGAACCCTAAGAAGGGCAGGCCCCATCTGGGTCCTGCTCCCCCCTTTTTTTCCTGCTAATCCAGATAATTCTGGGCAGTCCAGAAAGCACATCTATACTCACCAAGGCTGTTGGGCCCCTTCTAATATGCCCGGCCCCACAGCCTGCCCTGGGATCTGTGGGGACAGCACTGGCTGGACTCCACAGCCTGAGGACTAGTGTGGCCAGGGCTGGAGGCAGTGAAGGCCATCCATGCTGCCTGCTTTCCCATTGCCCAAGGGAAGGCTGGGGCTATCCCATATTACTGACCCCCCCCCCAAACTATCCTGGGCACAGTGATATGACCCCATGGGGCCTAGAAACTTATTCCAAGGTCAGGGTCTCCTCAGCCATGTCCCAGGACCCCCATCCCTGCAAGGTGTGCTCCAAGTGAGGGCTGCAGGGAACAAGATAGGCTCTCATCACACAGGCAGCCCCTTCCCCTTGAGACTGTCACCTCCTCCTGCATAGCCAGGGTGGGCAAGAGCAGGGCAGTGGCATGGACACTATAGCAGAGATGGGGAGACAGGAAGCCCAGCTGGGAGGGTGAGTGCTCAGTCGAACCTCATCAGAATTGAGGTGCCCCCAAAAGGAAGGGCTGCTGTGAGGGGGTCTCTCAAAGGGTACTGGGAGAGGCTTTTGGGAAGGTAGGAGTAAGGTTGGAATGACTCCATGTCTGGAGCTCCTGTGAGGCTCATGAGCTGGAGTGTGGCCCTCTGAGGCCCCAACTCTGGCTTCCTTGCAGGCACACAGCCTAGGGCACATCCCCAGAGGCCAGTGCCTACCTACAACCCCATCAGGGTGGTGGAGCCCTCAGAGTGAATCCTTCGCCCTCCCAAGCTTCCCTGAACATTTCCTTCCCTGGCCTCGGTCAGTACCTCTCCCCATCTGTTTCCATCCAGGGCCTCGTTATCAGATCCCAGCCCCACACATCCCACTGTGCCCTGGACACCACCAAATTCCTCGCTGGACTATGGCGGGTTACCCTCCTCCAAGCCACTCCTGCCCCGTCTCCCAGCCCTGCTGGGAATGCAGTCCTCTTTGTGTCCTCTGCAGCTGGCTCCAGTTCTGGCCATGACCTCTGCTCTGCCACAGCGTAGCTCACCAGGACTGAAACAGAAATGTGGCCTAAGAGCCCCAATGCTGAGTCTCAACTCTACCAAGTCACTTCTCTTCACAGTAACCTGCAACACACCTCCCCAACACAGCTCCAGAGTAGAGTGGAGTCCCTGGCTTGGTATGCAAGGTCCCTTAGAACCAGACCACTCCCAGCAGCTCAAGTTCTCTTCAGCACACCTGTAGTCTCTAAGGGCCAAGCATAGGCTTAGAAGAGAAATCAAGCCCCATCCTTGAGGAGCTCAAACTTGGCAACAGATATAGCACTTGTTCCCCTGCCTGGGCGTTGCACCTCCATGAGCACCCAGGGTTGGGCCTATCAGGGTTCTGCATTGCTCAGCATCTTCTCTCCAGCTGGCTGCAAAGTAGAATCATCTTCACAGTGCCCCAGTCCTGGGTCGTAGAAGGTGCTTGACAAATGTCTCCCAATTGGCAACTTATGGCAGCAAATGGTGAGGGAAACGAACTGGGGCAGGGCGAGTGATACAAGGCTACTTGGGCTACTTCCAAGCTAGGATGCAGGGATGGGGGGGCACGGACTTCTAACAGCCTTCTAAATGACCTTGTCCCAGTGCCCTGCTTGTGACTGCCAGGCAGCAACTTCCCCAAAGGAAAATTGGGCCCCTTGCTTTCAACTTCCCCTTGAAATCCCAGAGAACCTGACTGTGGAAGCACTGGGTGGTGGGGGTGCAGGAGAAGTGGCCTACCTGCCCACCCACCATGGGGACCAGAGCCCATGGAGGTAACAGAGGGACTAGGTAGGTAAGAGCTGCATGGGGTGCTGGCTGCCTCAGAAGATGGGAAGGGGATTGTCAGGCCAGCAGCTCCGGACTTGCCTGGGACAGATGTAGTCGAGGGAGGGGGCTTGGGCCCCACTGAGCTCAGGGCTATTCTTGGAGCCTGAGTCAGCGGAGGGAAGGATTCTTGCCCTGCTTGTCTAGGCAGCAGTTAGAAACCAAACAGGAACACTATGCCCCAGGCTATCTTCCTTCCAGAATCCAGAGTAAACACACGAAAGAGGCATCCTTGGAGACAGCCCTTGGCTCCTTCTGGTCCACCCCAGCAAACCAGGGACCACCAGAGGGTGACCTGGCACAAGGTCCAGTGAGGAGTTTCCCACCTGAGCCTGCAAAGATTCCGAGCTGGGACTCCTACAGGGGTAAAGGTTGGGTCTGCACTTCCTGTGGACTCCCACAGCCCACTCCTGGGACAGGCTGGCTGAGGAACATCCCCTAAGTGGCTGAGTGGAAACATCTGGGCTCAGCTCCCTGTAGGCATCAAAGACTTCTGGACCCTGATACAGCCCCCACGCTTGCCCCTGGCTGAGGAAACATCAGCCTGTGCAAAGGCAGGAGGATCCAGGGACCAAGGAAGTCCTTGCTCCCTATCTACTGCCCAATGGACTCCATGCCAATGCCAAAAGAGGAACGACACATTTCTCAGCAGAGGACTTTATTGGTGGTCATCTGTGGCACAGGTTGGAGGAGCCAGAGTGCTATTTGTGGTGGGGGGACCACGAGCCCCAACCCCACCCTCTTGCTTACACAGGCTTCCTGCCTAGAAGCGCAGCCAGAACATGCCACTACGGATCCGGTTGTAGTCTGTGAGCTGCTCGATGGGGCCTGTGGGGAAAGGGTGGAGCGTCAGGGTGGGGTACCTGGCCTGCACAGGGACATCTGGCCCTGTGCCGCACCCAACTTGGAGCTGCTGCCCAGAGCAGCACAAGACAGGCTTTGAGTCAAAAGGGGAAGAGAACATTCCCCCAGGGGTGCTGAGCCTGTCCCTTCATGCTCTGGCCCTTGAAGCCCCGCCCCACATGGAGGTGCCCGTTACCTGGCGGGTGCAGGGTATTGATGGAGGCACCTTGGCAGGCAATCAAGGAGCTGCTGGGACAGGTTTCTGAGCAAGAACTCCCTGGCAGCCAGGGGACTGGGGAGAGCTGCTGGGGACCTTAACTGGCTGCTCCGTGTAAGCTGGGGAGTAGGGGAGCGGAGGTGGAAGGGGAGGCCAAGAGAATGCCCTGAGGAAATACACAACGAGCAGACCCCCTAGGTTACTTACCATATCCAGCCACTGCTGGGCACTGGTCATAGAAGTACTTGGAACAGATCTCACGCACCACACTGGCATCTACCTCCTGCAGGGTGAGGTAGAGGGCATGTTGGCCAACAGGCACTTGGCCACCACCTCAGCCAGTCAGCATCATCCAGCTGGCCAAGATCTCCCACAGAGTGTGTGCAGCTGTCCCCAACTCAAAAGGGGAAAGGCAGAGAGGATTCCTGCTATAGGCTTCCATGGGCCACTCATCTCCACAGCCATCAGCACCTCTGCCCTGCCCTCCCATTATACCACCCCTGCAGGTGACAGCTGCCTAGGACACCAGGGATGCCTACAGGAGCAGGCTCTGCTCTGCCAGACCCCAACACTGCACCTCCCAGGTGTCTGCCAGGCCAAGACTCCAGAACCTCTCCCGGGGGCCCATGTTACCGAAATCCGGCTTTCCCATTCAGCCAGGGGAATGCGGCGGCCATAGGTCAGGAGGCTGCGTCCAATGTCCTCACACACGGGAGTAGTGCCTTTAAGGGTGGGGGAAGGCTCAGAAGTCCACCCAGACTAATCCTGGACTCACAGGTAAACAACCTCCAGCCTCAGGCTGACAAGAACCTCCCTGACCTCATGCTGACCCAGATCACAGCTCTCTCTTCTATGGCCACCTGTTAATTGTAGCGACAGGTTGTGAACCTGTCCCACACCTGCCTGCCTCTGCAAGGGTGGGGTGGTGGGGCACTGCTTGGTCTTCAAAGTTTTCCTTTCTAACCCTTGGTTAGTTAGGAGTGGTGGCCACCTTGGGACTGTTGCTGGCAAGATGCTCTCTACCCCTCCCTGCTGAGCTGCAGGACTCACCGTCTAGCTGAGATACCAGGGCATTTCTGAGGATGTTTTTGCCCCGAGCCACCGCACTCTCCGTGGTACTGGTACACAGGCGCATCCTAAAGTTGGGGGCAGGCGGTGGTGTTCATTCTCAGCCTGCGTGTTGTCTCCCAGCCTTCCACTGTGCTGGTCAAAGCCACCATCCCACCTAGGAGCACCAGGCTGCCACTTACCACTGGCCTTGCAGCACATAGATCATGTCATCGATTTTCATTCGGTCACAGACAAAGTGTGCACCCAGCAAGCCCGTTTCTGCATAGCAGATGTTGAAGGTCTGGAAACTCTGGCACAGCTTCTTGGCCGCAACGATTGAAGCCAGTGGGCTGGACAGGTGCTGCCAGGAGGGACAGGGACAGGTGATAAGCACCCACCTCTTGTCTTCAGCACACACTGTGACCCCATGCACAGCAGCACAAAGCCCCAGCACCTTTCTTCCCTGAAGGCGAGGTCCCATGCTTGCTCTGGCACTCACCGCGCCACCACCATAAGTGCAGTCATAGTGGCCGATGATGGCATTGGCCACTTGCAAGGCCACATTGTCCGGGTTGGCCCAGCCAGGACCCTCTACTGCAATGGCCACGTGGGCTAAAGGTAGAGCATCATCACGGTGGCGGATCTGAAACGGTACATAACAAGACTGAGGGACGCCCAGACTGCCTGGGAACAGAAAAGGCGGCAGGTATGGATGGAGTGTGTACGTGTGTGTGAACATGTGTGCCTGTGACACAGCAGCCACAGGACTCCTTTCCAACTGCTGAAGTATCTCTGGAGTCACTAGGGTAACCATGCACACGGGGGTCCTCCCACTGGCCGCCAGCTGAGAGCACTACCCCTGTCCAAAAGGCAGCACACCTCACTGCCAGTGAAGCGGCATGGAGTAAAAGCAGGCACAGCATCCTCTGGGTACTGCCAAGAGATGTCACCAAGGTGCTTCTGAGCAAGGTCTAACAGCTGCTGGTGCTCCACTCCTGCAGAGACAGATAGTGGCATTACTGACCAGCCAGGGCCAAAGGTGGGGGAATTCACAGATAGGCTGAGGATCCCCATGTCCTGTCTTAGTGGGAGAAATCAGAAGGAATATGTGACATTAGAACAGGGTGAGGAGAGAGGATCCTCCTCAGACAGACCCTGCCTTGTGGATAGGACAGACACCTCAGGGCCAGATAACTCCCATGGCCTCAGTCTCAGGAGAGCAGTAGCACTCAGAGCTTCAAAATGGGCTGCCATGTGATGCAAGCCTGAGAAGATGCATCCCACCTACATCAAGGACAAGACTGGTACTCCCTGGACACAAAGCCACATGGCCTGCCTTTTCCCTCTAGCTCTCCCTCAAGTAGATGTGGCCGCTGGCCCTGAAAGGGGTGGCAAGTGAGGGGGCAGAAAAAGGCACTACTGCAGGACTGTGATTAGCTCTGGGGTCCCCTGAGAGCTGGGGACCTTTGCAAGTAATGTTACAAACGCACACCCCAGGACTTCTTGTTGGAGCTCCCCTCCTTACCACCACAAGAGGAGGTCTCTGTGGAGCCTCGACTGGTGAACGTTGTGGCAATGCCTGCCTCAGGGTGACAGCCACCAGTTGTGTCAGCCTTTTACTCCTTCCTTCTGTGAGCTCAAGCCCTGCTAGTCTGACAGACACATCAGACTGCTCTTGTGCCCAGGTTTGCCAGTTCCAAAGCCCCCAGTCATGCTCTTCCTAGTGGTCTTTTCTGCTCACTCAGCTGCCAAGGTGGTTAAGCTGAAATGTTTTTTTTTCTTTTGAGACAGAGTCTCACTTTGTCACCCAGGCCGGAGTACACTGGCATGATCTCAACTCACTGCAACCTCTGCCCACTGGGTTCAAGCGATTCTCCTGCCTCAGCCTAAGTAGCTGAGATTATAGACACCCACCACCATGCCCGACTAATTTTTGTATTTTTAGTAGAGATAAGGTTTCACCATGTTGGCCAGGCTAGGCTGGTCTCAAACTCCTGACCTCAGGTGAGTCACCCACCTCAGCTTCCCAAAGTGCTAGGTTTACAGGCATGAGCTACCGTGCCTGATCAAAATGGAAGCATCTTGACCCCAGTCCCCTACCCATGCCCAGACCCCAATCAGGTTCCAGCTATAAAATCACCTGGAGTCCATCTACTGCTCCCCATTGCTCCTGTCAGGTCCCTGCCTCCACAGCAGCAGGGCAAATCTTAGAACCCTTCAGGCCTTGACACCTATGCTCAGTTCTCCACACCCCACCTAAGTAACACTCACAACCTTTTAGGCTTCTGTTCAAATGACAGGTGCTTTAAAAAGCCCCTCCCCCAACCTACAACTCTAAGTCTCCCATGAAATCTCCCCCACCTTTCTGTGCCTTCCTTTGAAGGCACTTCTTAGTCTGTATCAGGCATGCATCACCGCACAACTAACAGCTGGCTCACCCAAGGGCAAGGCCACAAGGAACAAGTCCAGGGGCTTACATCCCCTACAAGCCCATAAACTCAGTATCCAAGGACCAGGTGGGGCTAAGGCAGGCCTGGACCAGAGGGACAGCATCCTGTATAACTAGTCCCAGCAGTGGTAGCAGGGTAGAATGCTACCCCACCTCAGAGAGCACAGGAGGAAGATCATTACCCTCAAGCATAAGGTGGGGGCAGGGTCCCCTGGGGTGGAAGGTCCTTTATGGTGGGAACCAGGACCTGGGCTCTGATAACTGATGTTGGGCCCCCATACCCAGGGCTTCAGTGAGCCCATTGCTCACCTCCCGCAGCTGCCAGCACCATTCGAGGGGCCTTGTAATGCCTGCTGAGGTACTCAGTCAAGTCTGCACGAGACAGCTTCCTACAAGACAAATGGCCAGTGTGTCAACACCTCTTCCACACTGGAGTGAGTTGGGCTACAGGAATGGCACTGAGGAGGCAGACCAGGAGAGGCAGGTTTCTCTGAAGTGGGCCCTAGCACACCCCCCGACCCCCTTGCCCTATCTCTGCCACTCCCTGCTCCAGGGCCCAGAGGGCAGCCCTCGTCTGCCCTTGCCTCACGCCTGACCTGAGGACAGGCTCATAGTCCTCTCTGAGAAGGTGTGAGCAACACTGTGGGACTCTCAAAGGGCAGCAACAGAGCTCTGGGAGCCATCCCCAAAGGAAACAAGAGATCACATGGAGGGGACAACAGGACACCCCTACCCCTGGACTGTCAGGACAGGCACCGAAACATACCTTAGAACAAAGCCCAAAATTCAAGTGAAGCTCACAAAGCCATTAAAAAAGACTCACTGGACCACATGGATATAGAAACTGTCTCCAATTGCACAACTTGGGAAAATCGCCACCACAGACAGCTAGCCAACTAAAAATGTGACCTGGAAAGGGTCTGCCCAGACCAGAATGGGACACGCATCCCACAAGCCCAGCCGCCTCTCACCTGACATTCTCACTGGTCCCCTCCACAGCCTGGGCTAGAGACGTGCCCTGGAATGCTGTGGCATGCAGGTAGTCAAAGACCACGTCTCGCATAGAGGCATCATTCTCCTGCATCTCCCGCAGGATCACATCACGTTCCTTCTCGATCTGTGAGTCTTCCAGGCTACAGTTCTGCACAATGTCACCCAGGATCTCCACAACTAGATGCAAGGAGGACATGTTTAGGCACCAGGTGGACCACTGGAGACCCATGGCAGCACAAAACCCCCGAGCCTGGCATCTTCTGCTGCCCATACCTAGTTGCCCTGCTGCAAACCATACACTAAGGGTAATATGATTCTGTGGTCAACCAGGGGCTCCTGGGTATCTGTCCTCTGCTCCCCTGCCCTCCATCCCGCCCTCCATCCCCACCTCTTCCTCCAGGTGTTACCTTTTGGCAGATCCTTGGACAGCGCCTTGATGTAGTAAGCTGTGTGCTCTCGGGTGCTGTAGGCATTAAGATGGGCCCCTATGCTCTCCACCTCCTTCTCCAGGGTACTGCCAGGCCGATTCTTTGTTCCCTAGAACCAGATATTAACTGGACCAATCAGGAGCCACACGGGAGCCCAAGAATCCTGTCCTAAGAGGCTATTAAGACCCAGCAGGACTACTGGTCCACGGATACCTCCCTCAGGATAGCCTCTGGGGACACAGATACCAGAGTCTGTGCTTGCCAAGCACTAAGCAGGCCTTGTGGTAACCAAGGCCATGGCATCATGGGCCAACAGAATAGAGACAGCCAGGGCCAGGACAGAAGGGCATGGCCACAGCAAGTGTAGCCTAAAGTCCAGAGCTCCTGTAACAGCTTACCAATGAGCGGTGGGGTCATTACCAGTACACCTGCTCCTCCTATTGACAGCCATGGTCAGCTAAGCCCACACCTGTGTTCAAGTGATGGAACCCACTCCTCCCATGCCATTCATATGACTGTATGTGTTTGTGTATACATGCTAGTGGCCAACTCTGTGGGACCCAATCCTACTCCTATGTGTGGAGAACAGTCTCCTATGTGTGTATATCTCTTGGTATGCACACATAGGTTAATTCTGCTCACTTATCTGTGATACTGCAGCTGGCTGGGCTGCCCATTATGGCTCCATGGCCCTGCCCATCCCATACTCCTCCAATTTCTCATTCCTTTAAAAAACATGGGTCTTTACTTTACAATCAATGGATGCCCAGGTATTCCACAAGAGCACAACTTTTCACAAGTAAGCCTGCATGCCCATGTCGGTGGCTTTGTTACAATGCATGTGCATATCTATGTGTGTTCCTCAAGTCCCCTGTATGCATGCACATAATACAGGTCTGACTTTTCTGGTGAAAAGTGGGGCTCCTGTGGCTCCCTGGGTCTTCTTGGCTCTGAGGACCTCATACAGGGGTTCATCAGATACATGCCACTCCGGAGAGGTTAAGCTCATGTGGCTCCTTTTAGGAAGGCCAGCCAGAGATCAGCCCCACAACTGAGGCACATAATCAGGCTAATTTTTCTGACTTTCATCCTCAGGAGGGACAACAGATAGCCCTAAGCCCAGAGGAGACAGACTTCAAGAGCCTCACCTTGAAAGCCAGATGCTCCACAAAGTAGCCTGCCCCATTGTTCTTCTCAGTCTCAAAACGGCTGCCAACATCAATCCACACTCCCACCTGGACAAGAAGCCATCGACAAAGGTTACCAACAAACCGCTCTCCAGCCCCCTACTCACATCCCACCCCAAGTGACTCAGTACAAGTCCCAGGCAGGGACTCATGAATTCTGGAGTCAAGGAGAGCTGTCCCAGCAGGACCCCTGTGCTTGGAGGTACAGTCATGCCTGGGAAACGGAGGGCCAGCCGAATGACTAGTCACACTAGATCATCGCTCCCCTGATTGGCTATCAAGGACCCCCAGAGATAGTTCTAACTGTGCACATTTACCTGGTCTCACCAGCATACAAATTCCTTAAATTCAGTCTCACTTTTCAGTTAATTATTTGTTTAGGCATACAACATAGCATTTGCAAACAACACTTATTTTTCCTTCCTAAAAATTACACGCTGCCTTTGTTCTGGTGACAATTTTATCCTTCTCACAAAAAAAAAAAAAGAAAAAGAAAAAGGAAAAAAAGAAACACGCATTACTCACCCCACTTGGTCTAGCCTTTTAATTTACTATTTGTTCACAGCTGATTTAAGTTTGTCACTTCTACTTTCCTAAGAGTTTTTTTTCTTTTTCTTTCTTGAGACAGAGTCTCACTCTGTCTCCCAGGCTGGAGTGCAGTGGCACGATCTCAGCTCACTGTAACCTCCACCTCCCAGGTTCCAGCAATTCTCCTGCCTCAGCCTCCCAAGTAGCTGAAACTATAGGCATGCACCACCATACCCAGCTAAATTTTATATTTTTAGTAGAGATGGGGTTTCATCATGTTGGCCGGGATGCTCTCGATCTCTTGACTTTAATGTAAAGTGCTGACATTACAGGTGTGAGCCACCACACCCAGTCCCATTAAGTAATTTCTTTGCATCACCCACCTCTCCATCCTTCCAAGTCTTCACTGTCCATCATTCCACTTTCTACATCTGTGTGTACACATTTTTTTAGCTCCCACTGCTAAGTGAGAACATGTGATATTTGCTTTCCTAAAAAATATCAATGCTGTAATCCCAGCACTTTGGGAGGCCGAGGCGGGTGGATCACAAGGTCAAGAGATCGAGACCATCCTGGTCAATATGGTGAAACCCCGTCTCTACTAAAAATACAAAAAATTAGCTGAGCATGGTGGTGCGTGCCTGTCATCCCAGCTACTCAGTTGGCTGAGGCAGAGAACTGCCTGAACCCATGAGGCAGAGGTTGCGGTGAGCCGAGATCGCGCCATTGCACTCCAACCTGGGTAACAAGAGCGAAACTCCGTCTCAAAAAAAAAAAAAAAAATCAATGCATATACCATATGTCACACAATCTTAGATAACATGTATTTTACATCTAACATATTGGAATGTAAGATGCATTTTACAACCTAGAGTATCCTTTGATTAAAATTGGCAAGATTCTTAAGATTCTTTCTCTGCCACTGGAGTACAGAGGGCTCCTTACAATCTAGCACATTTTAGAGTCCATGTAATACAGCATTCTTTACTACTACAACAGGTGCCATGTAACAAGGAAGTTGCGGGTCACCTTTTCCTATGCTTAGTGACAACTTAAACCGCCGGAGGTTGTTTCTGGAAAACTAAAAGGATGTGTCAATAAAAACATTTTGCCCTGGAGCTGGGGGTTGGGGGGTGAAGGGAGTAGAAGATAATTATTTACTGGGAATCTTCTCACCTATTCACATATCTGTGAGTCAAGATTTCTATCCTTGAGTCAATTTCGAGAATTTGTATTTTTTGGAAAACCACACATTTCACTGTACTCTTCAAATGCATTTCCCCCTAAAATGCATTTCTGGTCTAGCCTGGAGATTATGACCTTGGGTAGTGAGGATGATAGACCTGGACCCCTGCAAGTCACCTAAGGTCTCTGAATCCCATTTTCCTCATTGTAAAAGGAGAAGTGATAACTTCTTTTATATGGGCTCCTTAACAAAAGGTTGTCGAAGAATTTGGCCGCCTACCGCCTACTGATGGGTATTATATGCTAAATAACGTTTGGCTTATAGTGAAGATTGTCCCGTGAAGCCAAGGCGTTGCTAGGGGTCGGGAATGGGGCCATTCTCGGGGTAAGTGAGCCCGAGTCCGAACCCAAACCATAGACGGGAAGACTCGAGCCCAAGGTCACACCCCAACCTGGGAAAAGACGGCAGGCCCAATCTGGAGGCCCTCTCCCCAACGGCGCCCCCAACTCACCGTGCAAGTGGGCTGGGAGGACTGCTCCGAGGCCACACGCAGGCCGTTGTCCAGTTTGCTAACCTGAGTCTCCGGCACAAACTGGAGCGCCTGAGCGAAGGTTGCCGTACTCCGCAAGGCTGGCGTCCGCAGCAGGGCCGGCTGTGGAAGGGAACAGCTGCGAGTGAGGACTGGGTTGGGGGATCGCTCCTCACCCATCAGGTCCTCAGGAGGACCCCTGTCCCCGCCCACAGGCCAGCGGCAAGACACCTTTCCCCGCCCTCCGCCGTGACCTTCCCACGGCCCTGACCCGACATCCTCCCCACCTCGACCTGCCACTGCCAACAGCCCGCACCCGTCCGCTTCCCGAAGCCCTGTCCCCTGAAGCTCCGCGCTCTCACCACCACCTCACCGAGCGGCTAGTGCGCAGGAGCACTTGTGCCCCGGTGCTAGCGGCCCGGCAGACTACGGACGCCGCCATTTTCCAGCTCCAGTCGGCCCAAAACTGCCGCGCAAGCGTAGAGAGGGCGCGTTGGCGTTCTAGGCGCAGGCGCAGTACCGTAGAGTTGGCGCTCGGCCGCCTCCTGGCGGGAGCGGGCTCTGTCTACCGGGCGTTGGCGTTCTAGGCGCAGGCGCAGTACCGTAGAGTTGGCGCTCCGCCGCCTCCTGGCGGGAGCGGGCTCTGTGGGCTGGGCTGGGGCTGGGGCTGGGCGGGGCTGGGCTGGGCTGGGGCGGGGCTGGGCTGCTTTGGGGGTGGGCTGGGGCTGGGCCGGGGCTGGGCCGGGGCTGGGGCTGGGGCTGGGCTGGGCTGGGCTGGGGCTGGGCTGGGGCTGGGGCTGGGGCTGGGGCGGGGCGGGGCTGGGCTGGGCACATCAGTCCACCTGCGGTCCATTATCCCACGCGGTCTGCCCGCCGTGGAGTCCATCTTCCCCTTGCTCGCGTGGCGTGGAAGTCAGAGGGCGCTATGTTTCTCACCAGTCTCGCTGCGTACTCCCGAGGTCTGGCCGGCCGGGGCCGCAGCCACAGCGTGTCCACAGGTCTGAGCTCCAGGGCTTAAAGTACCAGCGTGGAATCTTACCTAGGTCCACAAGGCGGTGCTAAAAGTCAGTTTTTTCTATTTAATTTTTTATTTGCTGAGACAGGGTCTCACTCTGTTGCCCAGGCTGGAGTGCAGGGGTACGATCTCGGCTCACTGCAACCTCTGCCTCCAAGGTTGAAGCAATTATCCTGCCTCGGCTTTCCGAGTAGCTGGGATTACAAGCATGTATCACTACGTCTGGCTAATGTTTGTATTTTTAGAAGAGACAAGGTCTCTCCATGTTGGCCAGTTTTGCGCCCGGCCAGTTTTCTCTTTAAAAGAATGAAGTAGAGGCCGGAAGCGGTGGCTCACGCCTGTAATCCCAACACTTTGGGAGGCCCAGGCAGGTGGATCACTTGAGGCCAGGAGTTCCTGGCCAGACTGGCCAACATGGTGAAACCCAGCCTCTACTGAAAATACAAAAATTAGCGGGGAGTGGTGGCACATGCTTGTAATCCCTGCTGCTCGGGAGGCTGAGGCAGGATAATCGCTTGAACCTGGGAGGTGGAAGTTGCAGTGAGCCGAGATCGCACCACTGCTCTCCAGCCTAGGCAACAAGAGCGAGACTCCATTGCCAAAAAAAAAAGTAGATTCAGATGGTTGACCTGGTTTAAGAAAACTAAAGCCAAAAGGAACAACTTAATTCGTGAAATAACTCCTTGTTTAGAAAACTAAAAACAAAAAAATGCCTTTCCTGACAGACCACACACACACAATCTGGAAGAACACACTGTAAACTTTCAGCCAGGTGACTTCTGAAAAATAGTTTCAGGGGTCCAGGAGGTGGCTCACCACACCTGTAACCCCAGCACTTTGGGAGGCCAAGGTGGATGGATCACTTCAGGTCAGGAGTTTGAGACCAGCCTGGCCAACACGATCAAACCCCATCTGTACTAAAAATACAAAAATTAGCCAGGCATGGTGGCAGGTACCTGTAATCCCAGCTACTTGGAAGGTTGAGGCAGGAGAATCACTTGAACCCAGGAGGTGGAGGTTGTAGTGAGCCGAGATGGTGCCACTGCACTCCAGCCTGGGAGACAAAGGGAGACACCATCTCAAAAGAAAGTACATATTGTATGATTCAGTTTATATGAAGTTTTAAAATGAGTGAGATTGATCTATAGCAACACAAGTCAGAATGGTAATTACCTCTGAAAGGAGTGGTAGTAACAGGGAGGGTGCCAGATGACCTTTGGAGTAGGAAATAATTAACATTGGGTGAGGCAGCCTGCCTTCTGCTGAGGATCCTCTCAGAAAGAGACACAGCTGAGAGTTGAGATCTGGACCACACACTACACAATAAATGTAGTTCTTTCCATTCATTCATATTTTATCCTTTAATAATATTCTGTAGGTTCCCTCTCCTTTAATAAGATTTTAGCTGGGGCCAGGTGAGGTGGCTCACGCCTGTAATCCCAGCACTTTGAGGAGCTAAGGTAGATGGATCACCTGAGGTCAGGAGTTCGAGCCAGCCTGACCGAAACCCTGTCTCCAGAAAAATACAAAAATCAGCTGGGCGTGGTGGCTCATGCCTGTAATCACAGCACTTTGGGAGGCCCAGGCAGGTGGATCACTGAGGCCAGGAGTTTGAGGCCAGCCTGGCCAACATGGAGAAACCCTGTCTTTGCTAAAAATACAAAAATTAGCCAGGTGTTGTGGCAGGTGCCTGTAATCCCAGCTACTCGGGAGGCTGAGGCAGAGAGTCGTTTTGGACCCGGGAGGTGGAGATTACAGTGAGCCGAGATCGCGCCAGTACACTCCAGCCTGGGTGACAGAGTGAGACTGTCTCAAAAAAAGTAGAAAACAAATACAAAAATCATCAGGATGCCACGGCACGCACCTGTAATTCCAGCTACTCAAGAGACTGAGGCACAAGAATCGCTTGAACCTCGGAGGGAGAAGAAGTTGCAGTAAACTGAGATTGTGCCACTGCACTCCAGCCTGGGCAACAGAGCAAGACTCCGTTTAAAAAAAAAAAAGATTGAGGGGAAGAGAAAGGAGGCTATCATTTTTTCATTTTTACACTTCTGTATTATTTTCAAGCAGATTTTTAAATTTTTGCAAAAAAAGTTACTCTTGAAATAACTGACAAAGTAGCAAACATAAGAAGCCATGTTTCCCAGCCAGGTATGGTGGCTCATGCCTGTAAGCCCAGCACTTCCGGAGGCCAAGGCGGGTGGATCATGAGGTCAGGAGTTCAAGACCAGCCTGACCAACATGGTGACACCCACCTCTACTAAAAATACAAAAATTAGCCGGGCATGGCATGCACCTGTAATCCCAGCTACTCAGGAGGCTAAGGCAGAAGAATTGCCTGAACCCAGGAGGCGGAGGGTGCAGCAAGCCAAGATCACTCCATCCTGGGTGACAAAGCAAGACTCCATCCCAAAAAAAAAAAAAAAAAAAAAAAAAGAAACCAAGTTTCCTCATTCTGATTGCCAGCAGAATTTCACCAAGCCCCTAGCTTAGTGAATTCCAGAGCACAGCCCTCCAGAAAAATGCCCTGAAGATAATAAGCAGAATAGAGTACAGTCTCCCATCTCTTGCCTGGATCACTACACTTTTAGAAAAAATAAATTCAATGATCCTGGCCCTTGCCTCTTCCTATACCTAAGATACTGTCTGACAGGATTAATGATTATGCTTCTGAAAACTACTTTTTTTTTTTTTTTTTTTTTTTGAGATGGAGTTTCCCTCTTGTTACCCAGGCTGGAGTGCAATGGCACGATCTCGGCTCACTGCAACCTCCGCCTCCTGGGTTCAGACAATTCTCCTGCCTCAGCCTCCTGAGTAGCTGGGATTACAGGCACGCACCACCGTGCCCAGCTAATTTTTTGTATTTTTAGTAGAGACGGGGTTTCACCATGTTGACCAGGATTGTCTCGATCTCTTGACCTCGTAATCCACCTGTCTTGGCCTCCCAAAGTGCTGGGATTATAGGCGTGAGCCACTGCACCCAGCCATCAAAAACTACTCTTGTAATTAAAATAAAACTATCTTTATAAAAATCAGGCCAGGCACCATGACCACAGGCTCACACCACCACACCCAGATAATTTTTTTTAATTTTTTTGTAGAGACAGGGGTCTCACTATGTTGCCCAGGCTGATCTTGAACTCCTGGGCTCAAGTGATCCTCCTGCCCCAGCCTCCCAAAGTGCTGGGATTGCAGGCGTAACTTCATTTCTTATAAAGGGTTACAAACCTGCAGGCTGGGAATCAGGCCTCTAGTCAAAACCAAGACAGGCCCTTCAAAAGAGGAGGGATTCGGGCAGGAGCTTTATTTAGAATGGCTTGGCTAAACATACATATTCAGCCAGGCGCAGTGGCTCATGCCTCTCAGCACTTTGGGAGGCCAAGGCAGGCGGATCAGGAGATTGAGAACATTCTGGCTAACACAGTGAAACCCCGTCTCTACTAAAAATACAAAAAATTAGCCAGGCATGGTGGCACAAGCCTGTAATCTCAGCTACTCAGGAGACTGAGGCAGGAGAATTGCTTAAACCTGGGAGACACAGGTTGCAGTGAGCCAAGATTGTGCCACTGCACTCCAGCCTGGGCACAGAACAAGACTCTGTCTCAAAAAAAAATTTAAAAAAACATATTCAACAGGTTACAGGAGGAGCTATGGATACTCATGAAGGGGGTCCTAATGCAAGTATACTGAATAAACGTGTGTTGCATATGACCCATGTTCACTTTGGGGTGGAGACTTAACATTTCAATGCATTACAATTAGCCTCATATGTCAAAATGTGAAGCAGGGATACAAAAGCACTCAGTGCACAGGCTCCATAAATCAGCTAAAGCCAGTCCCTGGTCAGTGGTCTCTTATCAGGAATAGGTCATTAAGATCAGTCTCTTGTCCAATGAGAGCTGTAGTTACGGCTTGTGGAACAGGGAGTGGGGTCAGTGTTTGGTGGCGGATAAACTGCAATATTGTTTATCTCAAGTCCAGTGCCTGGTTAGCTGCTGGAGAAAAAGAAAACTCTTGCAGCAGTTAGAACATAGTTTATTCTTTAAGTGTCAGGGTGAACTACTTAAATCTTGCCTGGCATAGTCTTAGGTCTTGTTTATGCTTTGGTATCTTATTGCTACAAAGAGTTCATTCACTCAGTCTTGTGATCTCTATTTCTTTTTTTTCTTTCTTTCTTTCTTTTTTGAGACAGTCTCATTCTGTCACTCAGACTAGAGTGCAGTGACAGGATCTCGGCTCACTGCAACCTCCACTTCCCCGGCTCAAGTGATCCTTCTACCTCAGGCTCCTGAGTAGCTGGGACCACAGGTGCACACCATCATACCCGGCTAACTTAACTTTTATATTTTTTGTAGAAACAGGATTTCACCATGTGACCCAGGATGGTCTCAAACTCTGGGCTCAAATGATCATCCTGCCTCAGCCTCCCAAAGTGCTGGGACTACAGGCATGAGCCAACGCACCTGAACATGATCTCTATTTTTTTTTTTTGAGACAGTCTTGCTCTGTTGCCAGGCTGGAGTACAGTGGCACAATTTCTGCTCACTGCAACCTCTGCCGCCTGGGTTCAAGTGATTCTCCTGCCTCAGCCTCCCAAGTAGCTGGGACTACAGGCACATGTCACGATGCCCAGCTAATTTTTGTAGTTTTAGTAGAGACAGGTTTCACCATCTTGGCCAGGATGGTCTCAATCTCTTGACCTCACGGTCCACCCACCTCGGCCTCCCAACGTGTTAGGATTACACGTGTGAGTCACCATGCCTGGCTTTTTTTTTTTTTTTTTGAGACGAAGTTTCACTCTTGTTGCACAGGCTGGAGTGCAAAAGTATGATCTCAGCTCACCACAACCTCTGCCTCCCAGGTTCAAGTGATTCTCCTGCTTCACCTTCCAAAGTAGTTGGGATTGCAGGCATGCACCACCACACCTGGATAATTTTGCATTTTTAGTAGAGACAGGGTTTTCCATGTTGGTCAGGCTGGTGTCGAACTCCTGACTTCAGGCGATCCACCCACCTCAGCCTTGAAAGTGCTGGGATTACCGGCATGAACCACTACGCTTGGCCTCTTTTTAATTTAATTTAATTTATTTATTTATTTATTTTTGAGATGGATTTTCTCTGTTGTTACCCAGATTGGAGTGCAATGGCACGATCTTGGCTCACCGTAACCTCCGTCTCCTGGGTTCAAGCAATTCTCCTGCCTCAGCCTCCCGAGTAGCTGGGACTACAGGCACACACCATGCCATGCTAATTTTTCTATTTTTAGTAGAGACGGGGTTTCACCTTGTTGACAAGGATGGTCTTGATCCCTTGACCTTGTGATCCACCCGCCTCGGCCTCCCAAAGTGCTGGGATTATAGGCATGAGCCACCGCGCCCGGCCTATTTATTTTTTTTTACGAAAGTCTGACTCTGTCGCTCAGGCTGGAATGTAGTGGTGTGATCATGACTCACTGAAGCTTTGACCTTCCTGAGATCAGGTGATCCTCCCACCTCAGCCTCCCAGGTAGCTGGGACTAAAGGTGCACACCACTATGCCCCGCTAATTTTTTGTGTTTTTTTGTAGAGATGGAGTTTTGCCATGTTGCCCAGGCTGGTCTCAAACTCCTCAAGCAATCCATCTGCCTCAGCCTCTGAAAGTGCTGGGATTACAGGCATAAGCCACCACATCTGGCCATAAAATATTTTTTCCATCCTTTTACTTCCAGTGTTTTGTGTCCTTGTATCTGAAGTGAGTCTCTTGCAGACAACATGTAGATTAACCTTTTTTAAAAACCAATCTGAAAATTGTTTTTTAAATAGGAGAGTTTAATCTATTTACATTTAATGAGATTACTACTGACAAATGATTTTCTTCTGCTGTTTAGCTTTTCTGTATGTCTTATATTTTGTTATTCCTGCATTACTGCCTTTTTTTCTTTTTTGGTGTTCGATTTTTGAAGTATACCATTATAACATTTTGATTACCTTCTTTTATTTATTTATTTTTTTTGGCTGTTTTCCTAAGTTTATTGAAAATAATACAGCATTGCAGAAAAGATTCAAACAGGTCCCTAAGGCGTTTTGGAATTCATCCCAGTTGTAGGCTGAGCGACCTGCAGGTTGGACAGACTGCCAAAATCCAAAAGCTTCAGCATTTCCTTAGTGTCAGGATCTACTTCAATGATCTCCTGATCCAGGGCTGAGACCTCAGGAACGCTATTGTCTTTCCTTTCTCTCTCCTCCTCCTGCAGCTTGATGGAGATACCTCTTACTGGGCCTCTCTGAATCCGCTTCATCAGATGCATGACATAGCCTGCCATCTTGTTGCAAAGCTTCTTGCTAGGGATAATGGCGATCTCCTCACACATGCGCTTGTTCGTATGGAAGTCGTTGCCCAGGCACATGTAGCACTTTTCTATGATGACCCGGGCCACCTTCTTCACGGTTTTGGTGTGATCGTGGCCCATGCTGGCGGGTCCTTAGTTACTTTTTTGGAGAGTCTTGCTCTGTCACCCAGGCTGGAGTGTAATGGCTCGATCTTGGCTTATTGTAGTCTCTGCCTCCTGGGTTCAAGAGATTCGCCTGCCTCAGCTTCCTGAGTAGCTGGGACTATGGGAGCGCACCACCACACCAGCTCATTTTTGTATTTTTAGTAGAGATGGGGTTTTACAATGTTGGCCAGGCTGGTTCCAAACTCCTGACCTCAGGTGATCTGCCCACAACTTCCAAAGTGCTGGGATTACAGGTGTGAGCTGCGGTGCCTGGCCTCAGTTATCAAGTTCCCTGATCCTTTATTCTTTCTGCCTGCTCCAATCTGCTGCTGAATTTCCTCTAGTAAAATTTTCATTTCAGTTACTATATTTTCAGGTTCAGAATTTGGTCCCTTTAAAATTATTCCTTTATTAATATTCTTTTTGTTCAGACATAATTTTCCTAATTTCCTTTAGTTCTTTGTCTATGGCTTCCCTTAGTTCACTGAACATACTAAGACAGCTGATTTATTGTTTTTGATTAATAATTCCAACGCCTGGGTTTTCTGATGGATACTTGCAGTCAAAATCTTTTTCAGCCAGGTGCACTGGCTTATGCCTACAATCCCAGAACTTTGGGAGGCCGAAGTGAGTCACTTGAGTCCAGGAGTTTGAGATCAGTATGGACAACATAGTGAGACCCTGTCTTTTTTTTTTTGAGACAGGAGTCTCACTCTGTCACCCAGGCTGGAGTGCAGTGGCTCAGTCTCAGTTCACTGTAACCTCTGCCTCCCAGGTTCAAATGATTCTCCTGCCTCTGTCAGCCTCCCAAGTAGCTGGAATTATAGACACATGCCACCACTCCTGGCTGATTTTTATTTTTTGTTTTTCTTTTAGTAGAGATTGACCTCTTAAAAAAAAAAAATCTCGGCTGGGCGCGGTGGCTCAAGCCTGGGTAATCCCAGCACTTTGGGAGGCCGAGGCGGTGGATCACGAGGTCAAGAGATCAAGACCATCCTGGTCAACTTGGTGAAACCTCGTCTCTACTGAAAATACAAAACATTAGCTGGGCATGGTGGCGCGTGCCTGTAGTCCCAGCTACTCAGGAGGCTGAGGCAGGAGAATTGCCTGAACCCAGGAGGCGGAGGTTGTGGTGAGCCAAGATGGCGCCATTGCACTCCAGCCTGGGTAACAAGAGCGAAACTCCGTCTCAAAAAAAAAAAAAAAAATCTCCTGATTGTATTTTTGCTGTATATTTAAAAAATAGTAAGTTTTAAAATAGGCCAGGTGCAGTGGCTCATGCCTGTAATTCCAGCACTTTAGGAGACCAAGGTGGGCAGATCACAAGGTCAGGAGTTTGAGACCAGCCTGGTCAATATGGTGAAATCCTGTCTCTACTAAAAATACCCAACCTGGGACCTTTCCCTTGGATGGACCCCGAAAATGCCACAGCCTCTTTGATGTCCTCCAAGTGAGGAGAAATGGGCTGGAGTCAAGGACAGGGGTCCTAAGTGAGTGCTGTTAGACGGTTTGTGTTTTTTGGTTTTTTTTTTTGAGATGTAGTTTCACTCTTGTTGCCCAGGCTGGAGTGCAATGGCACAATCTAGGCTCATCGAAACTTCTGCCTCCTGTGTTCAAGCGATTCTCCTGCCTCAGCCTGTCCCTGAGGTGGTAACAAGGATGGGTGAAGCCAAAGTGTGTGTGACTACACAGTGACTCGGGGCCTGGGGCTCTCAGTCCCCCATCAGAGATCCTCAGCATCTGGTTCCAGCTTCACCACTGCCCCATCCCTCTTCCCAGCTGACCAGTCCCTCCTTGGCTCCCCCTGTGCACTGGAGAGGCCCAGGACCCTCACTTGGCACTTGAGACCCTTTGTTATGGGCACTGCCCACCTTGCCCATGTGCACAGAGTACCGAACAAAGCACATGCCATTTGCTCAGAAGGAGACCTCCACCTGGAGTTCCCTTCCCCACAACCATTCTCCTTTAGGGCTCAGCCAGGTTGTCAGTTCCCCTGCCTCCCTAAGCCTCCCAAGTCTGTCCCAATGGGAGTCCTCTCCCATCACATTAGGGGTCCTGGGTACTGGCCAGGCCAGAGGAGCAATTTTTGTCTGAGACAAGTTCTGGCCCTGTCACCCAGGCTGGAGTGCAGTGTCACAGTCTTGGCTCACTGCAACCTCTGCCTGCCAGGCTCAAGCCATCCTCCCACCTCAGTCTCCTGAGTAGCTGGTACTACAGGCACACATCACCACGCCCAGCTAATTTTTTTTTTTTTTTGTAGGGATGAGGTCTTGCCGTGTTGCCCAGGCTGGTCTCGAACTCTTGAGCTCAAGTGATCCTCCTGCCTCAGCCTCCCAAAGCACTGGGATTACAGCATGAGCCACCACGCCTACCCTGGAGGGGCAGTTGTATCTGCAGGTGGGATCCATAGGGAGGAAAGGTCAGTTGGTGGGGGCAATGGAGCAGTGTGAGCCAGCCTATGCCCCACCTGCCCGCCCGTCCTGGATACCAAATCAGCTGGCTCTAAAAGTAGAAAAGGGGCACAGGGTACAGACAGGCGTGGAGAGAACAGACCTGGCCCAGGACCTCAGGCCATGCCCCCACCCTCCTGGCTGTCAGGCAAAGAGAGGCACATGTTTGATCACCCACTCTGGGTGGAAGTCCCCTTTATTTGGATTTGCTGCTGGGTGGCTAGATGATGTAGGTGGCCTTCGATGTAGACCAGGAGGGCATCCAGCAAGTGCAGGACCTCACGGAGCAGGGTGTGGTCTGAGATTGGGGCCCGCCATTTCCAGGGGCCACAGGGCTCAGTGGTCACCTGTGGATGCTGAGAACAGGAGTGAGAGTGGAGGGCCGAGAGGGAGGGGCGACAAGGGGCGGAGATGGAGCTGGGGAGCAGGGTGAGGGCTGTGGGGCAGTGCCCAGATGGGATGGGAGACTCAGAGTGATAGAGGATCATTGAGGGTCTGTTGTGGGCTATGGTGGTTGCAGGGCCTACAGGGGCTGGATGAGAGCAGGGGTACTAAAGGGGAGAGCTGGGGGCAGGGTGCTGGCTGTGGGTAGTGAATGTGGGTTCCATAAAGGTGTGTGGACACAGGGACAATGGGCTGTGAGCCAGGGGTGGGGGTGTAGGAGGCCCACAGGCCACAGTGTGGCCCCATGGGGCAGGGCTGGGTAGAAGACAGAGGCTCACTGGGTGTACATGGAGGCAGGGGCTGTAGGGGAGACAGAAGAGCTGTGCTCACCTCACCCTTGGTGGCCTGTGAGCGCCGCCACCACTGCAGCATCTTAGCGCGGATCATCAGCAACACGGTGGTGACTGTGACCCCAGCCACGGGGTAGATGTGGCTTGCTCCTGGGCCCAGCCAGTAGCCAGGAGAGATCAGGCGGCCCCTACAGCCCTCTACAGTATTTGGCTGACACCCCCAGGGCTGCAAGTCCAGTCCCACCTGGTACCAGAGGGGTCTCGACCAGGCGTGGGTAGGGGCAGGCATTACCAGCAGGAATAGCAAGGGCAGCGAGGGCAGCACGTGCAGCATGGCCACCGCTAGTACCAGGGGCCGGAACCCGGGTGCCTGGCAACGGGCAAACACCCCTCCCCCAGGAACAGGCCTGGCTCTGAGGCAGCAGATTCCAGCCAGGCCTGTGGCCTTTCATGAGGCAGCCTGGCCAGAAACTGGCTGTGGTAGGGGGGATGGGGTCCAGGGCTTGACGAGAATGGCAGACCTGGGTTCTGGGTCCTACTCTCCCAGCAGGCCCTGGCTGGCCCAAAACTGAGGGATCACTTCCTTTTGAAGCTGCACCCTCAGCCGGGTGTGGTGGCACACACCTGGTATCCTAGCACTTTGGGAGGTTGAGGCAGGTGGATGGTTTGAGCCCAGAAGTTTGAGACAAGCCTGGGCTTCATGGCAAAACTCTGTCTCCATAAAAAATACAAATAATTAGCTGGGTGTGGTAGTGTATGCCTGTATTCCCAGCTACCCAGGAGGCTGATTTTGGAGAATCACCTGAGACCCGGAGGTCAAGGCTGCAATGAGCTGTGATTGCGCCCTTGCACTCCATCCTGGGTGATGGAGTGAGATTCTTAAAAAAGATAAAAAGAAGAAACCAAGTCACAGACAGTTAAAGAAACCAGACTAACAGAAATTCTTTTTTTTGAGACAGAATCTTGCTCTGTCACCAGGCTGGCGTGCAGTGGCATGATCTCAGCTCACTGCAACCTCCTCCACCTCCCTGGTTCAAGCGATTCTCCTGCCTCAGCCTCCCGAGTGGCTGGGACTACAGGCGTGAACCACCACACCCATCTAATTTTTGTATTTTTAGTAGAGACGGAGTTTCACCATGTTGACAAGGATAGTCTCAATCTCTTGACCTCGTGATCCGCCCACCTCAGTCTCCCAAAATGCTGGGATTACAGGCGTGAGCCACCGTGCCCTGCCCAGAAATTCTTTAAGAGACAGCTCACTGCAGTCTTGACCTCCTGGGCCCAAGTGATCCTCCTGGCTCAGGCTCCTTAGCAGCTGAAACTACAGGTATGCACCACCATGCCTGGCTAATTTATTTATTTACTTATTTTTAAAATTTATTTCATAGAGATGGGGGTCTTACTATGTTGCCCAGGGTGGTTTCAAACTCTTGGCCTCAAGTGAACCTGACACTTCAGCCTCCCAAAGTGCTGGGATTACAGCTGTGAGCCACCATACCTGGCCCCTAGAAATCCTTGAGTTTACAGGATGGTAGATAAGAAAATAAACAACTTGATGAAACACTGAAATTCCCTCTGCTTATCAGATAAAAAAAAGCTGTCTGAAATCAGATGGACCCAATTATTGCCAACGAGTTTGCACAGAAAGAGCTTGTTGACATCACAGCCTAAATTTCCACTATGTTTCATAATATAACTCCCCCAGAATTTGCACAGGGGACCCATGAAGAGGCAGGAAGAGTTAACTGCACATGTGCACATGCCTGAGAACTTTCCAGACCTCCCCTCGCTTCACCAATCACCTACTAATCCCAGTATCCATCCCCTAAAACTCTTCCAGTAAAATCACTGTCTTAATGCCAGCACAGGGAGACATACTGGAGCCGGACTCCTGCTTCTTTGCTAGTTGACTTGCAATAAAAAGCTTTTCCTGGCTGGGTGCGGTAGCTCACACCTGTAATCCCAGCACTCTAGGAGGCCAAGGTGGGTCTATCACCTGAGGTCAGGAGTTTTTGAGACCAACATAGTGAAACCCCATCTCTACTAAAAATACAAAAATTAGGCCAGGCACGGTGGCTCACACCTGTAATCGCAGCACTTTGGGAGGCCAAAGCAGGTGGATCACTTGAGGTCAGGAGTTAAGAGACCAGCCTGGACAACATGGTGAAACCCTGTCTCTACTAAAAATATAAAAATTAGGCAGGCACCTATAATCCCAGCTACTCAGGAGGCTGAGGCACAAGAATTGCTTGAAGCTGGGAGGAGGTGGTTGCAGTGAGCCAAGATCATGCCAATGCACTTCAGCCTGGGTGACAGAGCAAGACTCCGTAGGGATTACACACTTGTAATCCCAGCTGCTGGGGAGACTGAGGTGGGAGAACTGCTTGAACCCAAACCTGGTGTCAGGCCCGCAACTGTAATCGCAGTAGTTTGGGAGGCTGAGGCAGAAGGATCTTTTCAGCCCAGGAGTAAGACCATGGTGGGCAACATAGTGAGGTTCTGCCACTATCAAAAAACTAATGAAATTAGCCCAACATGGTGAGAATTGCTTCAGCCCAAAACCCAGTGTCATAGTACTAGTTTCTAGCACTTCAAGCAGTGAGCTGTTTAGTAACACTTTCACCCCATCCTTCTCCTCACCTATCAGCTAAAACCTAAAACCAAACACCTGCAGTGGCTCACATGTGTAATCCCAGCAGTTTGGAAGGCTGAGGCCAAGGATCTCTTGAGCCCAGGAGTTTGAGCCCAGCCAAGGAAACATAGTAACAACCCACCTCTACAATTTTTTTTTTTTTTGAGACAGTCTCGCTCTGTCCCCCAGGCTGGAGTGCAGTGGCATAATCTTTGCTCACTGCAACTTCTGCTTCCCAGGTTCAAGGGATTCTCCTGCCTCAGCCTCCCGAGTAGCTGGGTCTACAGGCGTGCACCACCACGCCCACCTACTTTTTGTATTTGTAGTAAAGACAAGGTTTCACCATATTGGTTAGGCTGGTCTTGAACTCCCGACCTCGTGATCAGCCCGCATTGGCCTCCCAAAGTGCTGGGATTACAGGCATGAGCCACCTTGCCCAGCGTTTTTTTTTTTTTTTTTTTTTTTTTTTTTTTTTTTGAGACAGAGTCTTGCTCTGTCACCAGGCTGGAGTGTAGTGGCACAATCTTAGCTCACTGCAATCTCCACCTCCCAGGTTCAAGTGATTCTCCTGCCTCAGCCTCCTGAGTAGCTGGGACAGGCATGTACCACCATGCCAGGCCAATTTTTTTTTTGAGATCAAGTCTTGCTGTCACCCAGGCTGGAGTGCAGTGGCACAATCTCGGCTCACTGCAGCCTTCACCTCCTGGGTTCAAACAATTCTCCTGGCTCAGCCCCCCGAGTAGCTGGGATTACAAGTGCGTGCCACCATGCCCAGCTAATTTTTTGTATTTTTAGTAGAGATGCGTTTCACCATGGTGGCCAGACTACTCGGGAGGCTGAGGCAGGAGAATCGCTTGAACCCAGGAGGCGGAGGTTGCAGTGAGCTGAGATGGCACCACTGCAGTCCAGGCTGGGCGACAGAGCAAGACTCTGTCTCAAAAAAAAAAAAAAAAAAAAACTAGCTGGGTGTGATGGTATGTGCCTGTAGTCCCAGCTATGTAGGAGGCTGAGGCAGGAAGACTGCTTGAGCCCAGGAGGTCGAGTCTGCAGTGAGTGGTGATCACAACACTACACTCTAGCCTGGGCAACAGAGTAAGACCCAATTAAAAAAAAATCCACGTGGCTCCTAAAACCTTTTGCTTCCACCAGGGGCATCACCTGTCTAGGCTGACCAAACTCACAGGTCCCCCCCGCAGCCTCAGCCCCACAGTCTGCATCAAAGTTGGGTGAGTGCTCGAAGATGTGGGATCAAAACCCATGGGCAGCTCCCTCACTGTCAGAACAAAGCTGGAAGGCTCCTGCTGGCCTGAGAGGTCTCCCAACCTGCTCACCTCAGCTCATGCTGCCCCTGCCTACCACGGGCCTCCCTCAACATCCCTGCTACTCCTAGTGCCAACAGTACGGCTTCCCATGCCTAGGAAGTCACCTTCTCATGGCTGGAGTTTCAATTCCAGCATCACCTGCTCCCTGAGTCCCCTTCCCATGAGCATCTTGGGCGATACATGACCTCGTCTCTCACGTGACCCTGCTTTATTTTCTTCAAAGCATTTCTAACTACCTGCAATTTCTTGTTTGAGGTCTGCTGCCCTCTCTAACACATAAGCTTCATTCAACCATTATTTACTGAGCAGCTGCCAGAGATAATTGCTGCTGCTAGAATGTGGTGTGACAGAGTAAATAAAAGCTCTTACTTCCTGGGGCTGAGCTTCTAGGGCAGGGATTTGGGGGGTGATGGTGCCAGGCACTAATACAGATCATGATAAAATAAAGCCAGGCAAGGTTGCCTCCAAGATTTCAAGGGCAGGGTGGCCTCTGTCCACTCTCAGGACAGTGCCCAGGCCTCAGCACAGAGCCTGGCACCTACTCGCCACCTGATGAACAGCAGCGCTCACATGTTTAGAGCAGAGGACCTGAGCCCAGCATTATTCTAAGCATTTCCTTATTTATTTATTTATTTATTTATTTATTTTTGCGACAGGGTCTTGCACTGTCACCCAGGCTGGAGTGCAGTGGCACGATCTCAGTTCACTGCAACCTCCACCTCCCAGGTTCAATCTATCCTCCCACCTCAGCCTTTCCAGTAGCTGAGATTACAGGCATGTGCCACCATGCCCAGCTAATTTTTGTGTTTTTAGTAGGTATGGGGTTTCACCTGCCTTGGGCCTCCCAAAGTGGTGGGATTACAGGCTCAGCATCTACTCGTTTAATATTCACTGAGTGACTCATGAAGCAAGAACTGTGACCACTCACACTCTACTGATGAACAGCACACTGAGGCCCAGAAAGATCCCAGGACCCGGCTCCTCCCCTACTATCACTGTGTGGCAGCTGGCCCAAAGCCCCACCACCTGCTGGGTCACATGCTCGGATGTCAGCATTTAACGGCAGAAATCAACACACACTCCTTGACTGACAGTGTTCTACCAAGCCCAGGTGATCTATCTGTCGTCCAGGCTGGAGTGCAGTGGTGAGATCTCGGTTCACTGCAACCTCTGCCTCCCAGGTTCAAGTGATTTTCATGCCTTAGCATCCCAAGTAGTTGGGATTACAGGCGTGCGTGACCACGCCTAATTTTTGTATTTTTAGTAGAGACGGGGTTTCACCATGTTGGCCAGGATGGTCTCGAACTCCTGACATCAAGTGATCCACCCGCCTTGGCCTCCCAAAGTGCTGGGATTACAGGTGTCGGCCATCACGCCCAACCCGGTCATGCTTATTCTTAAGCATAGAGCAGCAATGTGGAGTAACAGCTGTTCTTAGGTGATGACTCTGCATCCTCCAGGGACTGCCCAGTGGCACCCACACTGCCCTGTACCTTATCGGGAATTCCTGAGAGTGAGTTATTCCTGAGAAGCAGCTCTGGTTCCAACTATTTCACAGCTGAGGACACAGGGACTGAGCACTATGCATGGCTGGGGAGAAACCTGAACCGTGGATGTCTCTATAGCTCCCCTCCTCTGTACCCTGACCTCCCTGAGTCTTTCCTCCACCTTCTGCCCCGTCTCACCTTCAGGGCACAGGAAGGGTCAGCAGGCACAGCTGTGGACCACCTGCCACCAAGTCCCCACCAAGCCACAGCAGAGCCTGGAGTTGAGCAGACAAACCTTTATTCCTGAGGCTAAAACATGTACCAGTTCCCTCCCTGTACCCAGCCAGTGCCAGCCTGACTACAGTCCCCTGTTCCAGGCCTGGAGCACTGAACTTGGAGTCCCAGGACCTCCATCCCTGAGTTGTGTGTATGTACATGGAGGGGACTCCTGGGTAGCACCTGGAGGTGGCCTAGGGGTGAGGGGCTTCTCAGGGGTGCCCTGTCACAACCTTCAGAGGTATACAGTCTCAGGCAGGTTGCAGCATGGTCAGAGTCTGGTGACCTGGGTGGGCAGAAGAGGGAAGGCTCCAGTCAGTTTCCAAAGGACACAGACAAACCCCCACCCCCAGGAACAGCTTTATCCAAAGACATCAGGGAAAGCACTGGGCCCACTGGGGATGGCGCCATGGCCACCAGGAAAGACTCCCTGGAGCTGGGGCCAGGGTGGGGACAAGCAGTAGATTAACAAAAAAAAAAGAGCTTGGCAGGCCAGAGGTCTCGACTCACCGAAACAGGGCTGTCGGGGACAGGCCTCGGGTGTTGGAGGGCAAAGGTGACGGCATCGTGGACAGAGGCAAAGAGATGCTTCTTGGTGACAGATGCATCGAAGAAGTGCCCAGCCTCAAGCTGGCTGACCACAGGGCCTGTAGGCAAGGAGTAGGCCTCACCTGACTCTCAGAACCACCAGGAACTCAACTCCCAGGAGCCAACAGAATGCCCTGACCTCAGCACCCCTGAGGCTATCTATAGCTGGACTCACATCACTTGTAACCCTGGACTCCTGTCTCCCAGGATACCTCTGACCTCCAGTTCCAGAGAAAGATTTTTCCCTTGTGCTACCTGGAAAACTCTTTGGTCAAAAGCATCCCATCCTCTTCCCAGGCCCCTCCTGCTGTCCCCATCCTACTCACTGTGGCAGGCCGCCATGTACACCTCCACCTCAATCTCCCGGAAGTCACGGAAAATCTGTAGCAGAAAAGGGGGCCAGCCTCAGAGGAAGGCTCAGGGACTTCATGGGCAGCTCAAGCAGGCTTGGGGAGGAATTTTAGAGGGGGAGCTTTCAGGATTTGGGGAGTCAGAGGCTCGGAGTGCTCTCAGGGAAAGTTATGGGGACAGTGTGAAAGCTTGAGGGGTCTTGGTCTGCCCCCACCCTTACATTCTTCAGGCTCTTAAGGCACACAGTGTCCACAAAGGAGAGCGCGCTCAGGTCCAGGATGAGGCTGTGGAAGTCTGGCTGAGGCAGGCCCAGGGCCTTCAGTGTGGACACATCTGGGGCCTTGGAGTCTTCTTGACCACTGGCTGTTGCATCTTCCATCTTATCCCCTGGGCTCACCTGATGGGGAGCCAGACATGCTGCCAGCGTCACCCATGAAAGGGTGAAGGCAGGACTGGACGCACAAAGACATTTAGGGACACGCAAGTCAGATGCGGAGCATGCATGGGACACATAAGGACTCAGACGTGGGGGAGTCATATAGGTATAAAAAGACAGGAAGGACAGATGTGTGGGGACACGCAGGAAGCCACACCCAGACGTGCATATACTGGTCTATTACTTTCTTGACTGAAGCTGCACAGGGACACGAAAAGGGACAGTGCTGGGAGACCCTGTCCCATTCTCCTCACCAGGTCCGAGTGGGGAGGGGGGCCAGGAGCAGACCAGAATAGACATAGGCATCCACATAACACACATGCACACACCTCGGCACCCTGCCCTATCCTGAGTCTCTAATTAAGCTTGGCATCCCCTTTGAACCCTAATTTTTTTTTTTTATATGGAGTTTTGCTCTTGTTGCCCACGGTGGAATGCAATGGTATGACCTCAGCTCATGGCAACCTCCACCTCCCAGGTTCAAATAATTCTCCTGCCTCAGCCTCCTGAGTAGCTGGAATTTCAGGCATGTGCTACCATGCCTGGCTAATTTTGTATTTTTAGTAGACACAGGGTTTCTCCATGTTGGTCAGGGTGGTCTCGAACTCCCGACCTCAGGTGATCCGCCTGCCTCGGCCTCCCAAAGTGCTGGAATTTACAGACGTGAGCCACCAGGCCAGGCCCCAGATTTTTTTTTAAGAGATGGGGCGTTGCTTCATTGCCCAGGTTGAATGCAGTGGTAATCATTCCAGCTCCTGGGCTCAAATGATTTTCTTGTCTTAGCCTCCCAAAAAGCTGGGACTACAGGTGCACACCACCATGCACCTGCCTCTGACCCCTAGATTTTTTCCCATACACCCAATCCCTTTTCTCTACCCATGAGCAGACTCTGTGGGGGTCTTGTGGCATGTACAAATTCAGAATCTTCATTGAGGCCTGAGTCTAGGCCTAGATTCTGTGGCATATCATGAATCTCCCTGCAGAGTATCTGAGCCAGCTCCCACTCCTCCTGCCATCAGCACCCTAGAGCCCATAGCTGCTGGGTCCATGGCGTTCCTCATGAGACATGTGTGGAGGCTGCATGTCTGCAGCTCACAGCTGTCCCCTCCTCTCCCACCACCAGCCTCACCATCACCTTGCAGTCCTCAACGTTATTGCTCATGTCTTCCAGGCTGGTGTTGACATTAATGGAAACTGAGGTGTCCTTGGAGGAGGTAGCCTATGCCAGGGAACCCGGGGGATGGGAAACAGCTATCCCGGCTGCCATGACAGCCGTGTCACATAGGCCTGGTGATGCCCCAGTGTTGGGCAGGTAGCTGGG